GGGGCTGCCTGAGCTCCAGGGCTCGCCTGGATTTGCTTCAGTTCCCTGCCCAGGTATCAGGGATGGAATTTGGGTCTTGTGTGCTGAGCCCAGTCCTGTCCCTGTGTCCTGTCCTCCCGTCCCTGTGTCCTGCTGGCCGTGCCAGGGTTGCCATGGACACCTTCCCCTCGCCCAGGTTGCTCCGAGCCCCATCCAACCTGGCCTGGGACACTCCCAGGGAATGGGGCAGCCACAGCTTCTCTGGGAATTCCATCCCAGCCCCTCCCCACCCTCCCAGCCAGGAATTCCTTCCCAATATCCCACCTAACCCTGGGAAGCCATTCCCTGTGTGCTGTCCCTCCATCCCTTGTCCCCAGTCCCTCTCCAGCTCTCCTGGAGCCCCTTCAGGCCCTGGAAGGGGCTCCAAGGTCTCCCTGGATCCTTCCCCTCTCCAGGTGAACATTCCCAGCTCTCTCAGCCTGGCTCCAGAGCAGAGGGGCTCCAGCCCTCGGAGCACCTTCCTCACGCTTCCTTTGGCCCTGGTGGCCACCATCACCCTCCTCCTCTTCCTCTGGGCCCTGGAATCCCCACAGCATCCCAGGCCACCGAGGTGTGGGGCCGAGATCCCACACCCACGCCGGCTCCAGGGATCCTGTGGATCCCTCCACGCTCTGGGGAGTTCTCTCAGCTGGGGGCTTCCTTATCCCAACCCCAAAGCTGGGAACAGCGGGAATGTGTGCCCTCCTCTCCGTGCCTTTGCCTGCTGTGGGTGAGCAGCACTTTAACCTGGATGGAGACGGGAATTGCCCTTTGCTGGGAAGTCTCCGCTCCCGGGAACTCCGCGCGGGGGGAGGGGGGGGGGGGGTGTGGCTTCCAACCGCAATTCTGCACCTTCCCCGTGTGCTCCCACAGTTAATCCATGTCTCAGCAGCTTCCGAAATCCAGCCCACTGTCATCCCGTTGCCGGGCCGGGCGCTCTCCGTGTGTGCTTTGGAAGCCCCGGCTCCCGGAGCATCTGCTTTCGTTTAGCTCCGCTAATGATCCCGCTTTTCTCCAGCACCTTCCATCCCGCTGCCATTCCCGGGCGCTCTCCCTGCTGTCCTTTCTGGGCAGAGGCAGTTCCGTCTGGATCCTCCGGAGCTCCTCGGGCTCACACCGGGATGGGGAGCAGGTCCCTGGGCCCGGCCAGAGCTCCAGACCCGGCACTACCTCGGGAATTCTGAAATAGGGATTTGGGGCTGGAGCAGCCTCCCAGCCCCTGACTCTGCAGCTTCCCCTGCTTCCCGGAGAGCTTCCAGGATGTCCCCACTTTGGGCATCACTTCCCAGCCCTGGCAGGGCAGCAGAGCCTGGGGTAGGAGCCTTCTCCCAGGGAGGCCAATCCTGGAATTCCTCGCTGGGATACATCCCCTGCTTTAGGACCTGGACTGGCCTGTGGAGTGGGGAGGGCTCACTCCCGTTCCCTGCTCCAAGGCTCTCCTGATCCCTTTGGATCCTGCCTCTCCCCATCTTCAGATCCCCCCTCCCTGCTGACAGCCCTGCAGAGCGTGGGGTGTTTGGGATGACATTCCTGACTCCGGGCTCCTCGGAGTTCCCGGGGGTTTGTGCCGGACCCTCTGGGATCCCGCTCCTCTGGGAAGCACTCCCGGGGGCACAGAGACCCTTCCCCCCCAGGGCTGCTGGATCAGGACTGCGGTCACCTCGGGGGGGGCTCCGGAGGTGTCCCCGTGCCGGGATCCCAGGGATCCCCAGCGCCCCGGGAACGCCGGGATGGGGGCGGGAGAGCCGCGCTTGCCCCGTCCCCTTTTCCCCTCCACGTGGACCGGATATTTTCAAGGGAAGAATCTTTCCTACGGGGCTCTCCGGCTGCCAGGAATGTGCGTCTAGGAATGCCCAGGGCCCATCCAAGAACAACTTCCAGACGCGCGGCTGAGTGACGGCAGCGCCGGGCGAGGTGTGACCGCGGGGGCGGCGAGGGGGATGCGGGGAGGGGGCTGCGGGAACCGCTGGAGCGGGAGCCGCTGGAGCGGGAGCTGCCCGGGGAACGCGGCACGGCAGGGATTGATCCCGGCACGGCAGGGATTGATCCCGACA